CCACCCCCAAACTAAAGCAAATAAGTTTTTTATCCGACATCTATCTTTTGACGTCGTCCCTTATACAACTCCTATGATCTACATGTTTGTACAGTTTATCAACCATAAACGTTTAAACTGCCTGCAGTACGGACCCTGTTGTGAAACAACATTGTACTACACTACTGGCGAATTGAATGCGTGCATAAAGTCGAAATGATGCGGAATTAGAACCATTTGCATTCACTGTCAATGCCCCTCGCCATGCGACACCCTTTTTTATTTCAAGTATTTCGTAGCCCGCAGTATTTCTCTGCAGAGATCGTTGTTGGCTAGACAGTGACGTTTAACATCACGTGGGTTCAAAGGGTCCGCTGAAGTTTATGAATGTGTAGTGCTTATCGTCGCCGGTGGGTTCAATAGTTTAATTCATTCTCTGTTGGATTTAACGTTTGATATTTGCGACTCAAGGCTCGTAATCTAATAATCCTTAAAAACCAAGTTTTTTTTAAGCTTCAAATATCGCTGTTCGGTACAAAAACAAGTGTCAAAAAATATGGGGATATTGGCGGTCCACTTCTAATACTGTAGTTCTATTATATTGCTAGTGTAGTACTTCCTTTTCTCCCCGGGCTTTGTAGATATATTCTGCAATCTTCACCAAAATCCGATGATGGGGGTTTGCCCCCAAATATGCTTATCATGGATTGTCGACATATTTATAATATATGGTTCAATATTATAAACGTCGATTTAAACAAGATTGCTTGCTCCATCATCCCAACGATGTTTTATCATAATTTTTTTTTTCGTTACGCATAATTTGTTAAACAAAAGACAAAAACAGGCGGCGCACCCATTGACCGGAAGTGCATCGTTTTCGAACTCTCAAACACACCAAGCGAATTATGATGATTATGCATGTTGACATGTTCGAAATATGTTAATTTGTTGATGATTTTGTGAAACAAGGCAAAACACTGCCAACAAACTAGCTGCTCACTTATTAAGGGGGGGGGGGGGTCTTTTTTTCCTGATCTGTGATCGTACACTTTTAATTGTCTGTGAATTGTGATTTGGAAAAAAAAAAAAAATACGTGATTCGTGACAAAAGTATTCTCCGTGAGCCGTGATTTGTTAAAATAAATGTGCGTGATTCGTGAATTGGATTTTTTCAATTTTGGGCAGCTAATGGGTATCTGTGTTGAGTTTGGTTGTATATATGTTACTGATGCTCAGGTTGGTGCCATAAAACTAAATACGCCAGTAAAACAAATGATTAAATTTCTTGAAAATCTTGGTCTGTTGTACACGGCATTTTCTGTTCACTTGACAAACCAGCCTGTCCTCAAATTGTCTATACAGCAGGCAATAGAACATGTATCCACTCTTAACGACTATATTTTGAGGCCAGAAGATGCAGTCAGGCAATCAACAGGGTTCCGTGGAAATACAAATGGGCCAGAAGGAACTGTTTCTCACAAAACTAGGTTATCTGTCTCAATGATACTTGAGCAGTTGAAAGAATTACAGGATTATATACAGACAATTAATGTGGGATACAGAATATATCTGTTTTCCTGTTTGACTGTACAGGCTGAGAACCTTCATGCTGTTGGCCACTTCAAAGACCAGTTTCCAACAGTTTTACATTATGTCAGAAATCTGTCCAATACAGTTTATGAAAGTTTAAATAGGGTTGTTCCATGGGCAGCATACTATTTCATAAAATTACCCAATCAGTATTAAAGTTACACCTTCGTATAATTTCCCAAAACTACATCAATCAAAATCAATGAAACGAGCTACAGGTACAGATGTAAGAATGGGCTATAGAACAAGGAAAATGTGTGAATCAGAATACAGTGAGGCAGGAAACTACAAAATTCAAAGCTGGTACATTACCACTGAACATGTATAGAAAATCAACAATTCCGAAAGAGCAAGTAGTATTTCCAGTTGTCACTTAACAACCACATGTTGAGCCTAAGCTACGTGATGGGAATATCCATTCTGAGAAGGAAATGACGACTGGTATGGGGAAAGAAGACTCTGAAGACAAGCTGTATATGGGCAGTGATTCTGAACAAGAATCAGAATATGACACGGACACACACTCTGGGTTGACTCCCGTGCCTTCAGTAACATCTTCAGTCTCAGACTTAAGCAATGATGCACGTACATTTATGAGAGCAGTAACCACACGAAGTGGGCGTATGATAAAAGTTCGGTCATATGTAGGTATACATACATATGTTGATGTCTATATTGTTATTTAGTGTCCTCATCGTGTCAATTGTACCGTTAATCATTATAAGCTACAATTCAGATACAGTTTGTTTGTGATCTGTGAATTGGCAAATGTATTTCCTGTGAATTGTGATATGCCAATTTTAATGCGAGTGAACTGTGATATGTACCCCCCTCCTTCCCCCCTCCTTATTGGTCTGATTGTTTTAGGGTGGCCATTGATTATGAACTATCGGGCAGAGAAAATAACACGCTTCGGGCCCACGTGCTGCTATATCCCCCGTACTCGTTAAATATCCGCATAGAAAAGGAAGCAGTTTTTCAGCGGAATAATTTGGTCCGCTTCTCTCATGCGCAGATGAGCCGCTGTAAAAGGTATGGCCCCAGGGTTTATAATTAGGCTCTGATTAATAAATACATGAAAAGAAATATTACATCTAAATATAAAATATGTATTGCTAATCAATGATCGAATACGAGCTGTGAATATTAGACTAGACAATGTAAATTTACTTCCGCGGTAAATTGTCGCCAGTAGAAATTCGTAATTGTCGACAGAATTACTTTAACTGCACCGAGTGTTAGGAGAATTACTGCTGATTGCAAACTAAAATATATGTTTGTGTTTGTCTTTTTTATTCCAACAACTAATTTTTGTCAACGGTAATGGGAGTTGCCGGTTGCGATGGTAACCAATGAAAAGCTGTGATAAAGCGTGCAATAAACAATAGTTTGACGTAATTGTCGCTCTGCGTCATGTCTTACGTCATATTCACGTGAATACGGATATTATATTAAACTATAAGACTACATCAATTTCTTTGTATCGCAAAATATCACTGACTTAAAAACAAGTAGAACCACCGATCATTTAAAATATTCCCAATTAAATACATTTTATTTAGCCCAACAGACGAATTTGATATAATGCAGGTAGAAGTGAGAATCTAATTAAATGCTATTATTGTGTAAACCTGTATCTATTTCATGCAAATGAAAACACGTTCAAAAAGCCTTATTATTCAAAAAACTAGTGGCTGGCTCTCTGCTGGTGGAAAAAAAATTAGACTCGTATCAAAAAAGGCAACACCTACTGCTTTCGTCTAATATGCATAAAACTCATCAGTTTCATAAATAGCCTAATGATATGCGAGGTGGGAAAGGTTGTCTTTGAATTGAATGATGAATGCACGATTCTCTCAAATTGCTGGAATATTTGACAGAAGGCACGAACTAATTGACTAATGGACTTATATATCTGTTCATCAATGTCACATTAGCATATTGATCAGTATCAGTAAAAGCTACGACCGTCTTGTACATCATGGAACGTGTATATACTGCTCAATTAAAGTTAAATAAATATACAGCATGTTAATACTTTAAACAAACCGAGTCACACACTACAAAGTCGGTTAGCTATACAGGTCTATACCACTAATTGAAACTCCATAGACGACGATGTTAACATATGACAAGATTGCTATATGAAAATGATAAACGAAGTTGAAAACATACCTCAAAAATAAGAAATCAACATGCCAGTAATCAACAACTTGAAAAAAACAAAAACATGTTGGCCAGCTCAAACTCTTGCAAATCTCAGGTAAACAGGACACACCTACTGTATTTGGATTGCACCTAGAGAAATCACTGGAAAAACACCAAGATTAGAACATCCAAATACACACAGAATAAACCCACAGTTACACAGCCACTTAGTAGTAAACAAAAGACCACATGTTAGTCATACCTTTGACCCAAGTGACCACGCCCTCAGACAGGAAGCACCTGAGAAAAAAATATTAAAACAATTTCATTGATTCTTGCAAGGAATTTAAATTGAACGGTAATTGGTTGATTAGTGGCTCGAGACCTACACATGGAGGTCCATACTAAAAAAACGACCCCCGAAAATAACTTACTGAACCACCCAATATCGTTCTGGTTACATTCAGTACTGGTGTTTATATTCACAGATATTTTACATTAATCATAATCACAATGTAGTGTGTAATGCTAGAAAAGGAAATAGCAAAATGTAAAATAAAGCAGAGCATCATGGGAGTTTTCTAGTTAACTGCTTACAAACTCCAAAATGATGAGTGGCTAAGCTACTTTAAAATCGCCTCCCATCCACCGTTCAACTTGACATAAACTTCTACAATTTATAACACACATAATCCAAAGTACATTCACACATATTTCAATATACGATGTTTAGTTTGGGTATTTTTCAAAGAAATCTTTTGTTTCTGCAGCTATTAAAAAGATATTTTGGTTATGTCAAAGAACAGACAGAGAGAGAAAACGTTTTAAATGTTGCCCTGTTTTTGAAGTAACTGACATGAACATCACTTTGCCCGTACATGTATCACATTTAGTGTTCTTTGGTAAACAGTCAGTGGAAGGAAAGGGATGCACTGTTCGGAGATTCAGTAGTGAATGAATAGTTCATATTCATAGTATTATATTACTGGACATTTCCTTTTAAAATAATAAGGTTTACGTGAACATTTACGTGAACACCCGCAAATTATTTGTCGTCATTATTTTGTAATTTAGTGTTCATATATCACTCACATAACTCAAATATATTCGATTATAGTTGACCACGAGTGAATGCAGTTAAATATCTGCTCAGATCTTGCTTAGCGCCAGAGAAACACGAGACTTGTTTTTTTTTTCATTTCTACTAGTGATCCATGCTGTTCTACGTAATCATAATATTCAGCACTGTCACAATAGACAGGAAACAATAAAAAAAAACTATTTGAAAAGCAAAACAAAAATAAAGTTCGTGACCCACGCTCTTAACGAGATCTCCGTAGTCATTTGGGTCTTTGCAGTCGACGTTATACGCAAATTCCCGCCATAGTCTCGTTCAAAGCGAGAAAGCGCGACTTTCTCGCTTCTAACGAGATCTATGCGGCCATTTGCAAGTGAATAAACGCTCTGCTTGCGAAAGAGTGTCCTATATACTCTAAACTCGTTTGTATAATCCGCACGGTACGATGTTGTGCGATGTTGGCAATCTAACCGTAATTATCACCGGCTTATGTATAGATGTAGAGAGTGGAATACAACATTTAGATATATCGCCGGAGGATACAGTACACATTAATATGTAAGCGAGGTTTGCAATAGGACACACATGATGACAATTTTCAATAACTTTATATTTATTCATAATGAAAATTCATGGACTGGCCTGGGAACTCACTGGTTCGATTCGCCTATACGATACATCATTAAAAAGTACTGAAACACATTTTACGATGATACCGGCTACAGTTACCAGGACAACAAGAATATGATGTGATTTATCCTCTTAATTAAAACCAACAGGGAGAAAAATACCATCTCGCTTCTGTAGAGGGTTTCCATGGTAACAACACACAACACTCTCTCGATGACAACACCTTGTCAACTATTCACTCGCCATCGGCGATAGCCGTGTCTGCAAATAGCCTGTTTTTTTCTCAATATGGTTTACCGAATATTCATTTATTCGAATATAACCGACAGGCTTCTAGCGTGCGTGTTCTATTATGACATAAAATTCCAGGCTGATATACCAGACTCATTTTGCTAACGATTGTGTTCAATGATGTAACTTTTTTCCCTCATTACCGTTTTCAATGGAATGCTCTTCCATACATTCAATTTACGTATCAACACTTCTAATAAACACAACCACGTGACATTTTCCCATTTAAGCTTACGGTAATTCAAAGTATCATTCCGTCAACGTAACACGCCAATTTGCACTGTGGCGATGTATACGTCGACAAATCATTAACTCGAATCGCCGTTCAATATTCAGAAAAAATATAAATGAAAGACGCACAATGTACTAGTATTCTAATTCTTCCATCCTACGTTTGCAAGGGTTGTCTTCAGAAGTCGGTATCGCGCCCGCATGGAAATACACGCAACGATTTCCAACCAGTTATTACACTCATGCGAAGAATGTCACGATAATTAATCTACAAGAAATTGAACTATTGTACCCAAATTGAACTATTGTGTCTTACTTTTAAGTTCGATGGTCGTCGCGTCTAACACCAATCTGATTAAAATAAGATCCTGGTTGGCTTAATTTTTTTTTTAATTTGTTGTTTTATATAATTACTATAATTATATATCAAAAAAATTAATTAATAATTATAGTAATTATATATCAAAAAAATTAAAAAAAAAAATTAAGCCAACCAGGATATTATTTTAATCAGATTGGTCTAATACGGGCTCCACGAGATGTATACAACGTGTGAAAAATACACCGTTTGTTCACGCGGAATTCGAACGCGCGCTCTTTATTGTAGACGCCGTCTTCAAGCGGGGGGTGTCGTCACCTGCACATGCGTCAGATGGCCATAGCGTGTCACTCTTTACAAACAAGCGTCAAGCGTCTACCTCAGCGTTATTGGTGTGTGTTGTTATCGTCGCTTGCGACTCAATTCCGGCGCGTGCGCAGGTGACGACCCTCCCGCTTTAAGCATTAATGACATTAAATCAGGTGCATTGATGGAAGCACGGAACCTCTAACTTGGTAGCCTACTTGATAGGGTATTTATTATCTAAGCATAACCCCCACCGAATTACGGAATATATGGCCTACTTCTCGCGCATTTACGTCGTGAATTTTGCAATTTTTGCAATCTCATTTCATCATTACCCCCCCCCCCCCCCCGTAGCTTTTAGCGATGGAAACAACAAATAAACGACCCAACATTTGAGAACAACAGC